AATTTTGTAGCTTTGAGGTCCGGATTATAGATCATTCCGGATTATGGGTGTCCGAATTAACGACTTTTGACTGTACAAGGGGTACCTTAAAGTCTACTCTACCCAATATCTATATTGTTACAAAGTAAATCTTCAACACTTATTTTTTCAAATAAATTCCAGAATGGATTAAACATGATTTAATTCGCAATAATAAAAGAAGGTGTTATCTTTGTTGTTGTGGATCTTAGTTTCTCTAGATTGGCAACAAATCCGCTATTTTGCCACGTTTGAAATGTAAACAAACATGTCCACCATCGAAAAAATTTAGGCTTAGTTGCACTTAAACAACTTTTAAATTGTTGATAACTCCACAAATATTGCATGCAGATTTACTAAAGGCATAAAAACCTTAACCGGAAGATAAGAACAACATAATTCAATCATTTTTAAAGCTTAAAGCTTTTGAGATGTATGCCAAGCAGACAGCTACAGAGCCAAGTTATTAATCTCACAAATTTATTAAGAGCCAAATTATTAATCTCACAAAAATCCTTTTTATTTCGTACAAGGAAGTAAAAAATCACTCTACTAGAATACAAGGTACTTTTCCGTGGCACAAGCGATCAAGTCGCCAATAACAGTAGAACTGATGCCAAGCGGAATAGCCTCGCTGGTAACCTTTTATGCCACATTAACAAGTCGCAGCCATTTTTTATCAGATTGATTGTTTCTTTCAATACTGGCATACAATTACATAGAATATTTACCAGGGAGCTCAATTTTATGCCCTAAGGCCATTCACGTGAGCATTAAGTCAATTAGGATGCAATCACAACCCGATGGTGAAAATATAGAAAAGGCAAAGTCAATGGTTAAATTCATCAATTCTAATGGAAATGCACTAGCGAAGTAAAGCACTGCAGTTTTATTTTGAGTAAGCTATTTGTACGAAATGAAATAATTCTTGTATTTTAACTTGTATTCAAAATTACAATTTAATTTGAAATTAATGTAAATAATTACCGAGAGAAATAGATTTTTGTAGCGTAGTTTAGATGAGATAAGATCACTTGGGGTCACGTGATATGAACCGGTGAATCAGGATGTTGTACCATGAAAGCATAGTAAATTCTTAGTCATTTTACAAATTTATTGTCTTTATTTATTGGTTTTTTTTACAAAATTTTTAACGACATTAAAATGTTTATACCTTTAAAATAAAAAATTCTTCATTTGTCAACATTTTTTATGTGTATACTGTGTGTTGTCGCCAATAAAGTCTGCTTGGCGAGATTTGTGCCGGCGAAACGGAAAAGTACCAAATATAATTTGTATGTGCATATTTGATTGCAAAAATAACTGGTCTACCAAAAAAAAAAAAAAAAAAAAAGAAGAAGAAAGAAAGAAAGAAAAAGAAAAGAAGAATCTAGAATAACAAAATAATATTTAATGAGTTTTTCTCACTAATATTAATAATTTTTCATCATGAAGAATACACTTTTCATACACATGACCTATACAAAAAATGCGACACGTGAGAAGAATTTGATGATAACTGACAAACAGACAGAGAAACCATTTGTAAATAGGGCATTTTTTTATTCCAATCATATAATGTGTGTGTGTGATTATGGCAAAGCCTCGAGGAGTATCTGCCTAAGAGGAGGGATGCCTTCGTGGAGGACTTTCTAAGGGAAACTGGCTCGTATACATGTTACACATGGGGAAAACCACAAAAACGCCCATGCAGCCAGCCCATTCACGGGATTCGAACCTCAGACCGAACTACCAGTGTTCACCGACTTTACCGCTCGGCCGCTGGTGGGCCCAATCATATAATGAACTACAGTGATTTAATATCAAGGTGATTGAAAGGAAACAGAACCACTTTACTTAGCACTGAAGCTAAAACTCTTTGCAACAGATTCAATAACAGTGGGTAGTATTTTGAGATAAAGACAAATATATTGTTTTCATCACTGTTTATATTTTTCTTCTCGCTGAAACTGTGGCAATCAAATGAACAGTCAGTTTATGTCCCACAGATTATTGAGTGAAGAGAGATCTTAGATATGTTTTCATTTATCATCAATGGGCTCACCAATGGCCTAGCGGTAAAGTCATTAACACTGGTAGTTCGGTCCGAGGTTCGAATCCAGCAAACGGGCTGGCTGCATGGGCATTTTTGTGGTTTTCCCCATGTGTAACATGTATACGAGCCAGTTTCCCTTAGAAAGTCCTCGACGAAGGCATCCCTCCCCTTAGGCAGATAGCCCTTGAGGCTTTGCCATAATCACACACACACACACTTTTATTATCAATTTGTTTTTTAAATTTACCGAAATTTAGCAACTCCGAATTTTATTACCCCCAAAATTTGTTGCCCCAGGCTTTAGTTTATTTAGCATATATGTAAATTTGCCTCTGCTTTTTAGTCAGTAAAATATAAATGAATAATTTTAGAAGCCTGTGACAAATTTTGGTATTTGCATCCTCCTGAAAAGTATTTATGAAACAAAGCAGTATGTTGTCAAAATTGTTGTCACAACTCATGATAGCACCAAAAAGTATTTATGTAGCAGCACAGGTCTACGAGTAGGGTAAGTCTGTTTTGACTGGTGCACAAATGCGAAAGTTGTGCTGATGTCCAGTTTGTAAAACTCTCGGATGTTTTTTAAGTGAAAACAGATCACTGTGTACATGGGCAGAATATCAACATAAAATGCTTTTAGAAAAAAGAATAAGTGCTTTATTGCCAATGCTTCTAGTTTTTTTAAATTTTATTAATTGAATGTGCTTGAACGACATTCTTAGTCACCATGATTTTGAAAATAGGAAAGAAATTACTCATCAATTGAATTCAGAAATGCTCTTCTAAATCAGCAACGAATTCAAAACTTTTTGGTTGGGGGGGGGCAGATAATCAGAATGTACCTATAATCTTATAGAATGTTATAAAGATGTGGAAATTTTTATAGAATTTTGAATTATATCAAGTTAAAAAAATACATGATTTAAATACATTACTTAATTCTATGAAAAATTAAATCCTAACTTTAAAACAAAACTAAACTTTCTAAAATTTAAAAATTTTAATAATATGAAGCATGAATATCCAATTCTTTTCACTTAGGATTTTAATATCTATGCCTGTCAAAATCTGAAAAACCTAAATTTAGAAATATTTGGTACTTGGCAATTTTCTGCCCCCCCAAAAATATTTATGAGACGAAGTGCTATGTCGCCAAAATGCATTTATGTGGGAAACCAGATATAAGCAAACAAGCAACATACTAGAGCTCATTTCCAACTTCAAATTTAAATGACATTTTTCTTATTAGTGTTTGTTTTTATTTCCTTTGAATATAAATTTTTTTTCTTGTAAGGAATCATAATAGGACTATGGAATTTAAAGGCCGATGAAAACAAAAGATTCACATTTCTTCAGAAATAGGGCATTTTGCCGAACAGTACAAAATACAAAAACCGGAAAAAAATGACCGGATTTGTGTACTGATTGAACAATTCTTTAATTTTTTTAAAAATGAAAACCGATTGCTGTGTACATGGGGGAAAATATGTGCGAGTAGTAGAAAATTTGTGCAATTCTCATATATTGAACGAAAACAGATTCCTATGTACACTGCGGGGGGGGGGGGCAGTTCTATATCTCCTGTTCTACCAGGCCAAATGACAAAATTCAACTTGCATTTTTAATGTCTCGAAAGGGCAACTTTTTTCATGACTTAAGATATGTATTAGATTTATATACAGCATTGTTCTCATATAGGTTATTTTCACAGAAAATCAGACTTTTTCTGAAACGACATGCCACTTTTTTTCCATATTTCAATTCTACGACTCAAAGTCTGCCAAATTGACAAGTTTTATAAAAATTGCACAAGTTATTTTTAAAAGATTAGCTCTCAAAATTTTAGCTCCTCAATGTTAATAATAGATCCTAATGTTAAACAGATAACAGCAAACTCTTATCACTATTTTCCAAAATACATTAAAAAAACATACCTTTTTGCATGTGAATGATTCTGAAGACAATAAGATGAGTTTGTGCTGGTATTTTTTTTTTTTTTGTTTCAGGTGAATTTTACAGCAAAGATGATTTAACAATATGTCATAACATCATAATAATGAATAAGACATATTATAAGAATTTTATACACCATATCTCTACACACTAGTAGTTTAATATACTTATTCTTGACATTACTATTAGATACTATTTAAGTATTTTGTAACAAATTCTTAATGCATAATATATTTTGAACTACTTAGTGTTAAATTTCATATTAAAAACCATTCTTAGGTTTGCAAAAGTTTAAAATTGAAAATTTATTCAGGTAAAAAAAACAAAACTTGACTTCTAAAAATTTAATCTTCAATCACTGAAAGAAAAAATAATATGCAGTAATTATGAAACTAAGATATCCCAATGTCATAACTTGTTTACTTCAAATATTAACATAACATTCTCCTAATCTGATAAATTTCAACTAATATTTTAGCACACTGACATAATACAAATGCCAACATAAATTTATTATATTCACAAATATATATAAAATGTAACAATGATTTCAGTTTAATAATTTCTGAAAATGCAACTTCTGCAGTGCATAACCCAGACTACATAATACTACAACACAATAGAACCATTCATTGAGGATAAAAACTAAAAAAGAAGTTAAACTTCTTTACTCTTTATAACTCTTAAATCAACATTATTTCTGAACATTATTAAACTTATTTTCACAAAGCTGTTATACCTCAAGTATTTTTTATAAAAAGACTTTAATGCAGTAGAACAATAAGAAACACGCAAAATTTCAAAACGGACAAGGAAAAAAAAAAAAAAAAAAACCTAGATATGAAGAAGTGTTGTGCAACTCATAATTTCACGGACATGCATTTTTCTTATAATGAAAGCTTCGTTTAGAAAGGACAGTTGCATTAAACATTACTTTAACTACAGAATATCATAAAACGCATTTGTTTCTCACTTGTTAACAGATCCTACTTTATAACCTTTCCGGATATTACTTCCGCTACTATCTCCCAGCAATTGATGACTAGTGAAAGAAGACTGAAGCCAAGCCATAACCTTTCAAAAAAATCTGAAAAATAAAAACAATAAAGCATTGAAAAAATGTCGAAGAGAGTAAGAAGTGATTAAACTCAGTCCACATGTACATATAAATTTTTTCCAATTTTCTTAGAAAACTGAAGCATTAGAATTTGATAGAACACAAAATATTCCTCCAGGTTAACTTGACATATGTTGAACACTTTCGAATATTGAAAAGAAAAGGCTAATATATTTTTCTAATAATCGATACTAAGACTAACATATGACTAATGGAAGTAGGCGGCATTTGCTTTCTTACTAAATACAAGGAAGATCACAACAATACACAAATTATTACAGGATTTTATTTATGCGAATTATTCTGCTCGCATAAATGGAAGGCACGTTTTATATATCAGTTACAGAAATTAAAGACCACGCCTTACATTTCACATTATTTCCATCATGACTTTACTTCTAAGACGTGAGAAACAAACATTTCCGGCGCATCAAACTAGCAACAAAAACAAATAACAATTGAGGAGTTAAAGCACGCAAGCGTACAGCCGAGTCAGTGCCGAAAGTGAGAACTCCTTGATAATGATTGTGGATATTTTTTAAAAGCTGCTTAATGCCCTTTTTAAATGAATCTTCTTTTACATAAATTTTACGTTTTTAACTGAAATTTAATTAAATGTTTCCTTTCAGTTTTGAATATTTTATATGACAACATTCAAGAATTCTAAAATTACGATCCTCGTATATTTTTAATGTTTGTAAAGAGAATTCTCATAAACAAGAAATGATTTCAGTGTCATGCCGCCCAGTCGGTATAGTGGAATCTGACTCTGATGCCGAAGGGCCTGGGCTCGAATCCCGGAGAAGGCATGGTTGTAACTGTCCGTCCTTCATAGGAAAGGCTATGGTGGCCCTTATATTAGTTGCCTCCATAATAAAGAGACCACCACATCCGGCCTAGTATAGCTTAATGGACTGGGTTACATTTGTAATTGTTCACAATCTGCCGTCATTGGAATAATAATAATAATAATAATAATAAAATTCAGTGTCACTTGACACAAGTTTTGAAGGAAAAAAAAATTTTTGCACATTTATGCATAAATTAATAAAAGTAGAAGTAAATTTTGCTCATTTGTGTTTTAAAGGAATAAAGAAAATAAATTTTGATCATTTGTGTTTCTTTATAGCTGTTTTAAGTGCAAGCGCTTTATTTCATATTGTGGATACGCTGACTCTATTTCAGAGAAGATATAACAAAGATCAATAAAATACTTCTTAGGATAGTTTAGAAAACTTGTAAGTAATCAACATAACAGATGAAAAAATTTTTTACTACTTCAACTGAATAAGAACCTAAATATTTTACTCATATATATGCGAATGCAATTTACTATCAAAACACAGCAAATTTATGCTAAATATTTTCATAAAGTCTTTGCTAGTATACCTAACAATTTAAATTTTACACAGAGGTTTTTACGTTTTTTTTAAATTTACGTTTCAGGTTTTCTATTGGAGTTTAAGCATGAATTTACTGAACTGAAATCTTCCCAGTTCTTCATGTATGGTAAGATACTATAGAAGCGATACTACTATATCTATGGTGGGGAGGGGGATTCATTACTGCCTTGATTTGCACATAAGGAGTACTATTATACGTTGAAAAGAAAGAAATATGCAAATAATTATCTATAAATTTATATCTTTTCATGTCTATCCTTTTTGCATAAATTTAGCAAAATATTTTTACGGGGAACCTTTTTCTATTGTGGCATCTACATTTTTAATTCAAAATAAACTTTAAGAAGAATATTCATCAAAACAGGTAGATATTATTTTTATTTATTCGTATCTATCATTGTCTTATTAAAAAGTTCTTATATAACTTGTTAATGAGAAAAAACATATTAGGCTCTTCTTCCTCTTCTTTGTAAACAAAGTTATTGTGAAAATATTGGTGACATCACAAACAGATTAAAATCTTTATTTCTTGAGTCGGCTTCAATTCGACGCATGCGTATACTCTTCATATTTTGATGGTTAACTAGACGTTACCCTACGGTGCTGACCTCTGTTGGTAGTTCTTGTTATTATCCCTACATCCTCCATAAGATTGTGCTTGAAGCATGCGTAGTAAGACTATTGCAAATGGCGGATTCTGTTATTGTTCCATGGCGAACGTCAAGGGAATAAAATCATGCCCGAAAAGCTACCATTTCGAGGTGAGACTTTAATTTAAAGTTCGATTTCATAGAAATTATTTAATACACGTACAAATGTTATGGCTTGTATATTTTTAAGACTTTAAATTCACGATTGTAAATGTTGCAAATTTTCAGAACTTAAATGTAACAGTGCATCGACTCCCTCAGCTTCCCCAGTTGATGGGGTTGGTCCTCTTAAAGTATAGCGATTCAGGAAACAACATTGCAATATGTTTTAGGCTTACATAACAGTATGCATATTGATTACAAAACAAAAAAAATAATAATATAAAACTGTTCTCTTTCTTATTTAGATATAGTGAAGTGCTATTCTAAGTTAAGATCCACGCGCATTTTGGTTGACGGGCAAGCTGTTATATATGTCGAGTTGGAGCGTTTATGTTATTTTTTTATTTGTAAAGTGAGATCGTCTTATACGGGCTTAAATTTAACTAATGTGCTACGTATTACAAACTAAAAATTCAGTGTGTTTTAAATTTTTTAAATTAATATCGTTCAGAAACACAGTCCATATACTTTTTTTTCATGAAGAGGAAGGTGCATACTATCGAAAAACTTTTGTAGTAGTTTATCAGTAGTTGTTTATAAAATCTAGTTTTGCCATTGTATTTTCAACCACCTTTCAAATGCATAATTGCAGAGCACTTAACGAAAAATAAACTTAATTTCAAATGTTGTTTATATTTGTGAGATGAACGATGTTAGTTTAGTGGAGGTCTTCCCTCGGGTATTGCTGAATTAAGAAATTCAAGTAATATCTGAGTATAGTCATGTATGTTTGAGAATAGGTTTCAGATTTGCTTTTTTATGAAAATATAATTACATATAATTTTAAATGTAGACCTTTGCTAAAAAACAGTTGAATTTTATATGCACATCTTTGCCGAGTATTTGAAATTTGGACTACTATACAGTTAGATTTAGTTAAAAATGTTTTGGTACTTTTTATAATAAATATTAGAAGCTTTTGTGATAACTAGCGAAATGCACTTCAACTAAACAACTTGTTTATTTTATTGTGAAGTAGGCCACTGACTGTTTGTAAATATGAATGCTTCTAAGAGTTACATCATCATCTTGTTCAGTATCGTAAATTATGTGTAGAGTGAGTTAAACTTTCTGTTAGGAATTTAAATAATTTTTATTCAGCGTTTTACTTTTCTCATGTGAAAATAGGCGTGTTATGTACACGGAAATTATTTTAATAAGTAAAACTTCTTAAGAGTAATAAATATAAATGCACATACAATCAGTGATATTTATACATGCACACATACAAAGATTAGTAAATTTTCTAATTTCAAATTAGAGAATGCTAGTTAGATTTAAATGATTTTATTGTTTAAAATGTAGGTTAAAATGCTACCAAGCTTTTAGAACAGTTCAATTTGCTATTAATTGCTTATTATTATACTTGGAAAGCAATGAATTAAGTTTTATTATTTTTGTTGAATTATATATTGTCGAGTTTTTTTAAACATTTTTAATAAAATAACATATTCAAAGACATATAGATAAATTTTGTGCCTACAGCTTGTATTTTCTTGAAAATATTTTTGTAGATAGCTTAAATGCTTTTTGTTTTTGCATTTATACTTTTTAATCAGTCAGACTAAAATGAATAACAAATACTATTATATGAGGAATGGAATTTCCGCTCCAAGTTTCTTAAATAAACATTGTATTTTTGGAATGATTTTTAGTTAATTTCTATAGCAAATTTCTTTTTAGTTTTTAGTAAGCTTTCGTATGAATTTTATAATATTTTTTTTGGAAACTATATGTAAAAATTCGTAATAGTTATTAATAATAATAATATAATAGTTATTAAGAATTTTCTTATTAACTAATATCAAATTGTTATCTCTATTTCGTTGAGTACATTTGCCTAGTGTAAAGACCATCAAACACTGCTAGCGACTCAATGCTGTAGCATCTGCAGTATCTCTGTGCTTTAATGTATTAGTGGTATGAAATTCCATGGTTTGAGTCTGTATAGAAGCTGCACGAAAACATCCTTTCCCTTATGCAGTTAGCTCTCATGTACTTTGCCAATTTGAATAAAACACAGGAAACAAAATATAAAACTTTCAAATTTTATATTTACACCCAAAGGGGCATTTTTTTAGAATTTTCTGTGTTACCTTTATTTATTAAATATCAAGTTCTTAAACCATCGCACTTAAACCATAAAATTAAATTCAACGGCAATATCACAAAATAATTTAAAAAGAGCATATCTTTTAGAATTTCCGATATACGGTCTCACGCACTAGAGATAAAATTTTTCTTTTCACCGTACAGTGTATTTATTGCTCGCTTTGAAATCGTTGAGTTTGTTCAAAAATTTTTACAAAAATGTTTTACAAAATATGAAATAGATAATAAAACAAATTCCCAGTTCGGCTTCCAGATGCCCATATTTAAATGGAAGACTGTTATTCAAAATCTGATGTCTTTAGCTATCGTTGTTTTTACACAGTATGAGAATTATACATTCATGCAGGTTCTTCATTATTTAATTTCTTTAAATATAATGCAGGTCTCTAATATTTGATGGCAGCAATTTGAAAGTGAAAAAAAATCCCAAAACTGCATTAATAGCCTTTCTGGGCTTCTTATCATCAAGTAGGCCAACCACGTTTTCTATTTATTTAACATAAATCTGAATTAATATTCTTCAGAAAAACACACAAAAGCTTTCTCGTGTAGGTAAACGGATTGAGTACATTTGCTGTAGTTAATATATCATAGCAAGCCCTGTATTGTGTTTTGTAAGTGGATAAATAAAATGCATAGGAAGCTTTTTCTTGTGTTTTAAGTATATTAAGAACACTCTTTAAATAAGCTATTTATTTTGAAGCTTTCATGCATGTTACATAATAAAATAATGTAGATTTTTTATTATTCAAGTAAATGTATAAATCATAATACATTTAAACAAATTTATTTTATGTTTTTGTTTGAGCCGTATTGACTGTGCAGTATCATTTATGTCTTGATGAGGGTCAAAGGCATTTACATTCTGTTTCTAATGGCAGGACATTTATAATCTAATGCATTTTTTGGGAATGGACAATATCAACTATTTCATCACTGAAAATATTGCTAAGGGTGCATCATGGAGAGTGACCAATTTTACACCCACAAAAAACTATGAAATTTTATCCCAATTTCATGGAGAATACTTTGGGAGGGGGTATCTGAGATTCTCCTACCTCCCTATCACCATACATATTGAAAGAACTTGCAGCTTGCCCGTATCTTATGTGCCCCCATGTCAAACACACCTTGTATGTTTACAAGCATTCGACAGCCCATCAGTAAAGCAGTTAGCAGTGCTATACCAATAAAGCGCTAACTGCTATACCAATAAAGGCAGTGTATTTTGGAAATGCAATAGAAGTCCAGTAGAAATCCGCAAAGCTTGGGACCAGAGGTTGTGCAGATTTCAGGACAGAAAAGATAAATCATAATATTCAGACTCAAAGGGCAAATAAATAGGGTGTATTAGATACATTAAATTAAATTTTTATTAACATATTGCAATAATTTATTATATGCATTAAATTCTTATTACATATATAATTGATTATATTATTCACTGTATTATATGTACAAAGCATCCAGTTTTGCCGATTTCACCTCATGTAACGATTTCCGGTTTTGGATTCCGGTGGTAGAATCACTGTTGCTATAAAATTTCAACAGCTTTTCTTTATTTTTCCGTATATCATACACACTCGTGTTGCAATTCTATACCATTCTGCTCTAAATCGAGGAGCAGCACCTGCCTCCATCTTTTGCAGAATTTGCACTTTTTGCATTACCGTCGATGTAACATGTTTACGTTTTTCAATTGCAATATAAAATCATGAAGTGCGTTCTTAATCTGTCTTGTATTAAAAAGGGGTGAAATTTAATATTCTTAATTTCCACAAAATATCTGGATTAAAAAAAAAAAGGCGGCAGCACTAAATAATCTCGTGAAATAACAAAGCTCAGAAAGTACAATGTGAAGCGTGAACTTCAAAGAAGAGTTCAGTTAATCGTCTGCCCGATGCAGATTAGAGGGAAAAAAATTTTATTTTTTAAACTTTTTTATGTCAATAATTTGGTATTTCCATTATGACTCATTATTATTCGATAATTATGACGTCATTATTCTGTAAGTATTTTTGCTTCGATATTTCGTACCCAATGTTGTGGTTTCTGGAACTTATAAACTGAATGTTTATATTTTTAGAGGCAACGTGGATTTCACTTCTGCAGATTTTCGGTATTTGACTGTATTAAATGTCAAAGCAAAATAATTATAGTCCTGTGATGTATTATCGTGGAATGCAATTTTTAGAACAGGCAATAGAAAAACTACTAGAATTTTAATAATTCACACAATTTGGGGTGAAATGTTGTGGTGTAGAATTAAGGAATTTTGTATCTTCCCGAGTTTCATTTATGCTCTTTACTTTCTGATTTTCAATTAGAAGTCCTAAGTTCTGTCTAAAAAAGGGGGAGCAGAATTGCTTGAACTGAACATTGCACATCACTGATCACAAATTGCTGAAGAACAGTTGTAGCTTTATTGTACACTTCACCAGAATGGAAGGTTGTCGATCCATGAATAGTCAACTAAAATTATACCCTAAGTGTTACTTAACCTGTATTTTTTTAATATGAAGCCTTTTTTTTTTAAAATTTAGGATATGAGAAAAAAAAAAAAAAAAAGCGGAAGGAGAAAACATGTTGGTAGAAAAGGGGGTAAATGATTGAAAATTTTATCGCGAAAAACAAAGAACATTTTTTGCAAAAGTGCATGCATTTTATATATTAAAAAAAAAAAAAAATTGTATACACACGACTGAAAAAATGTATAAAAATAAAACTTTTAATCTGAAGGCTATTTCTGTTAGCTTGATTTGTACTTAAAAAGTATGAAATGAAATAGTTATATGACATCTTGACCACAACACTAAAAAATTACAGTTGCTTTTAAT